TCATACCAGTGTGAAGACAGCATGATAGCCAGGCAAATTGCTCGCGTGTGGTAAAAAGGTCAGCAAGAATAACAGCCGACCTAACCAACTCAGTGAGAACCGCCAAACTAAGGCCGGGTGATACCTTGCCTACAGGAACCTGCTGGAGAATGGATGGAAAGGTTGCTGACGAATATGAAGATACTCCTGGTGTGGGGAAGGCGAAAGGCAGCTCAGCGAGGGGTAGGTTTAGCCAGGTGCTGTAGAGTAGTTGGATCGTTTGGAGGCAGGAGAATATGAGCTCGGCGTCCAAACGCCAAGCGGATGATGGCGGCTGCGATTTAAGGAGCAATGGGGAATTCAAATTCTCTGTGAAGCCAAGAGTGGGAGAGGAACAATTTTCTGAAGAGAATAGGATGGATAAAGGAATGAGTTATTTCCGATTGAGGAAAAAATATAGGGTCGAAGAAATGCAACATAAACTAGAAAAAAATATGATTCGTTAAGAATAATTAACTGGCATAAATAAGTTGGACTACAAAAATTAATAGAATAGAGCTAATTATATTACATTTTTCGAAAGAATGAGTCATGGGAGCAGAAGATGATAATTCGGTATCTGGCAGAAAATTAAATAAACATTAATAAGGGTAATACAAATGAATGAAATAAAGTAAAGAAAACCACCACTCAGGGATATAGAAACTATCTAAGAAGGTTTGTTTTAGGAATATAAACATGTTTAAGTTGTTAGAGAAAAGTTCAAGCTATTGGCGGGAGTGTCGTTACAATCCAAACAAGCGTAGCTATATATTTGAAATCTGGCCAGCCGCCTCGATATTTTCAGGATTTCTTACAAGGCCTGTGATCAACTGGTACTTGTAAGAATATGATGAAGTGGTAACATGTCGAAAGTACGTGCCAAACCAACCGAGTTCGAATCCTATTGGGGAGACTGATAAGACCCAGGTGAGGTTAAAATTGTATATACGAAGAGAAACTTGGTTTCGATGAATCTCCTAAGATAACATTGTTAGGGGGACCTTCATTTCGAATGAAAGTACATGAAGAAGAAATTCGTTTTTCGATCTCACCAGATGAGGACGGGTGAAAATCGTTGTACTGATTAAGACACATATAGACCTCTATTGAGAGATCCAGGCTAAAAGATACCCTTATGGTATGCATAAATAATGAGGAATTGGAGAAGTGGAAAATGAATTCACTACTCCAGAGAGATGCAATGCCCCCCACA